GGAGGATTTAACCTCCTTGCCCCTCTGAGAAACCTGATGACCAAGTCGTGCTTCCCCAAAGACTTACCGTCTACTGCCTCGTGATGCGTGGCAATGGCGGCAACATACACTTTAAGGGTAGAGGGAGACAGCCTTCGCTCCAACCCATCCTGCAGGAAAGAAAGCACGACTCCAATCGGGCATCACATGAGCCAGCGAGACGGCCTGGGGCACGCTAACCAGGGCCCCAGCGACCGAACAGGCGGGACTAGGGAAACCACCGATGTACCTGCAGTGGGGCAGCGCAGTGGAACACAGGGACCCAACCCGGGAGGCTTCCGTGCGTCCCAGGGTGGGGTCTGAGTGCGCGGCGCACCACTTACCTGGCTCCACGGCTGGGCAGGGGGCTCGTGAGGAGGCATAGTGTCTTTGAACTGAACCCTGCTGCCCATTGGCGAAGGGAGAGGGGGACGGCCATGTGGAGACTGGGTGTCGCGCACTGCCATCCTCGCCCTTTTGGAACCCGGAGAAAAAGGAACCCGCTCTTCTGTTGAGGTTTTGGGCACCACTGGCTGAGTAGCCAGCGGCGGAACAGAAAAAAACAGGAACAAAGGTTTCTCCACCCGGCCCGGAGGGTGCCCTCGGTGACGAGCAGACAGAGGGGCTGCAGCCGGCGGTGGGGTGCAGACAGCAGCAGACCGCCGGGGCAGGATGTGTCGAAACGCCTCCGTCTGCTTCTGCACGGTGGAGAACTGTTGGGCAAAGCCCTCCACCGCTTCGCCGAATAGGCCGGCCTGGGAGATCGGGGAGTCCAGGAAGCGATGCTTGTCGGCCTCCCTCATATACGCCAAGGTCAGCCATAGGTGGCGCTCCTGGACCACCAATGTGGACATCGTCTGACCCAGGGCCCGCGCCTTGACTTTCGTCGCCCTAAGCGCGAGGTCCGTCGCCGTGCGCAGTTCCTGCAGCACACCTGGGTCAGCACCACCCTCGTGCAGCTGCTTCAACGCCTTGGCCTGGTGGACTTGCAGGAGGGCCATGGCGTGCAGGGCGGAAGCGGCCACAGTCCAGCAGCACTGTAAGCCTTAGCCGTCAGAGCGGACGAGAACTTATAGGCCCTGGACGGAAGGCGTGGACTACCCCTCCAGGTGGCGGTGCTTTGCGGCTAGAGCTGCATGGCAATAGCGCGCTCAACCTGAGGGATGTCCACATACCCTTGGGCTGCTTCAGCGTGCTGTAAGCCCAGGCACGAGAGGCAGCGATCATGACCATCAGATGGAGGCAGGAAACGACCGCATCCAGAAACACAGGAGCGGGAAGCCATCTTTAAAAAGACGCCCGTCGCTCGTGGAGCTCTTTTAGATATTTGCTCTTTTAGGAAAAAAAGGAGACACTCTTTTAGAGAGAGCGCTGAAGCGCCCAGGGGAGACCGCAGAATGGCAGCTGCAGCACGCCGAAGATGAGCAGCACTGAATGTCAACCCCCGCTGATGCGCCGTAACACCAACGCTAGCTGTTTCTTCCAAACACTCGCGGAGATTTGTCCTGAGAAGGCTCGGCTCCGACGCGAAAAGCTGATGTGCGAAACACGCACGCCAACTGTCATTGGCTTGTTTAGTTTACACTCGAAGGTGATTGGGCTCTCGGGCGAGATCCCAATTCGTCAGTCACGACTGACGTAACGTAGAACGTTACTGACTGAAAGGGAACATAGTATTTAAATACATACAGTAGGATGAATATGTATAGACTGAATTGAAATGGTAAAGATATTTCATGTTTATGAATGTATGCCAAAGAGCCTTCTAGATAGAGTCATTAATAAGTCAATGTCCTCCTCAGAACAAAATCTCAGAAGAAACGTTTTGAGGAGGAACTCAACGAGAGGATGATTCGAACTTTTGATGGCATCAATTCTCAAAAGTAGGTCACCTCATATCTCTGCTTTATTTGCCCATTATGTTTAATGTTCCAGTTCTGTGTTGGTTGGTTTTATCTATTCGTATCTTTTTTTCCATAGACAATGGCTCAAATCAGAGGACATTCAGAGAATATCTTTGTTTTTCCACAATAAAACATTGGAAAAAGAGGTAAGCACTGATACTTTGTAAGCTAATGTTAATTTGAACTAGAGTCATCCATAGTTTATTAATAATACGTCACCATATCAATAATTGAAATATAAACCTGTTTGCTGTCCCCCACGATAAGACTGAGAATGAGACGAATCAGTCAACTAAATTAAAAAAATACCAAATTGTTAGATCCTGTATGAGAACAGTGTGTCCTTTCCCTGCAGTATAGAGCAATGACCCTGCC